GAACAAATACTTGCGATGAGATGGACTGGTATTTCATCTTCTATGACCCTCTTGGAATTAGGGGGGTTCTAGCTTTAATTTTCACTTTGCCTTTAATCATTCCACCTTTCGAAAACTGCACTGTTATTAACTACACTGGAAAAAAAAAAAAAAACAACTGTTTATTTCAAGTCCAAATAAAAGCCAAGTAAAAACTGACTTACAGACATGAAGATCTCCCTTTAGCATTTATTGAGGTTGGAAAGAGAGGTTTTATAAGGAAGCTTTCAGCTACAAAAAAAGATTGATCCTCTTGACATTCTAAGTAATTTTAACTGTAAAAGCCTGTACAAAATTACACATGCAAAGAGCATTCATGTTATACAGGTGCAATTCTGCCTAAACATATATTTTCACTGCACAGGATTTTTGCAGTGAGAAAAGGAAGACAGGCAAATGCTATGCAGTAAAACAAAGGAGTATATTTGGAACCTGATAGATCCCTGTCAGCTGCAATGCAGCATCCTGGGGCCTGAGGAATTAGAATCTGAATCAGCCCTGCTGAGGAGTGGGACACTAGCACTGACTTCACACAAATAGCAATCTTTCCCCTCACACACATATTCGCACCAAAACCCCATGGGTTATGGATTAGTTATTCCCAGCTCACAGCTCATACAGAGAATATTCCCTGAAAAATATTTTCCAGCTTGTCAGGGGTCATGTAGCACTATGGCTGCTTTGGTTTCAGCTCCTGTGTTCCTCAGCTAGGATGGCCTTGCATATTGTCTCTCACTGCAGCTGCGCGATGGGCAGCAACTAGGAAGGATTTTTCCACAATAGCCCCCAGTTCCCTCTGCTCCTTTCTACTCATGCTCCACAGTTTAGGTCCTTCCTGGCAGTATATTTACACTAATTATTACTTGTATCTTAAATGGAAACATTTTTTCCTTGTGATGAGATGTTTCCTCTGCCTTAACCTGCTCTATCACCATCTGCCTCCCTCTGTCCTGCTTTACAGGGGTAGACACCCTTGGTGCCAGAGAACACAGGTGCAGTAAAGCCACACAGTGCCTGACAACACCATTTTTATTTGAAGTTACACATAATTATCATTGATTTGGAAGTGCGACCTCCTTGATGCACAGCCTTACAAGCTAACAGGTTTTTTCCACAAATGACTTTCCAATGTTTGTTATGCCCTCATGGAGATCAAAATGTCATGGTTATAGCAGTTTTCAGGACTAAGCCAACTTCATTAAAAGGCCCCCAGGCAAGCATTCTTTTGCTTTTATACTGTCCTGAAAACCTTCTGCTTCCCTTGGTGAGCACCACAATGTCACATTGGTTTGAAAATGAGCATGTGTGGCTGAAAACATCCAAAAGTATGTTTAGTCCTGACAGCAAGGGCTCAATGTCACTCAGGAATCTCTGCTTTTGCAAGAGAACTGTAGCCCAGGGACCAGGTGGTTGGTGCTTACATACCCTAACCCTGAAATGATTAATATGAGGGAAGACTGGAAATAAATGAAAGCTGTTCCAGACCTGGACCAGTCTGGTCCCTCATGGGTGAGGCAGCTGTGCCAGAAAAACAAACTGAAAATCCGCCCTCTGAGCTGGCACCCTTGATGGAAGGATCAGCAGTAAAGTCCAAGACTGATTTGGCCCCAGCTTAAACTGTCCTCTGATCCAAGGTCATCTCTCAACATCACAAACGAGTAACATTATATGAGGAATCTTGCACATGCTGCTGTTTTGCTGCCAAGCAGTCTTTCAAGTTGTCTCCCAATCTGGTGTCTTTACAAACAATAATTTCATCCAGAGAAATGCTTTCTAGTGGTTAAATTACAACCACGAATCTGCATCCAGCCTGAATCTGCACATGTTGATGCACTGTAACACTACTGGATAATAAGCATGGTGTCACTCAAAATGATATTATACTGGAATGTGACCAGGAACAGGATTAGAGTAATATCCTGTGACTGGGATCAAGGAGTTGAACTGGTTCTACGTTTGCTGGAGGCAGCAGAACATGTTGGTGAAAGGCAATCACTGTGCTATTGCCACCCCAGCTGCTGGGGCAAGAGATAGAAAGGGAAGGCAGAGAGGGCTGCAACAATGTCGTCACCACATCAAAAAGAATAGTGCCTCCTCGCAATCATTTCCCTCCTGCCTGGCAGTGAGTAGCACTAGGAAATGACAGCTGTGGTATTCCCTGGCTCCACTGACCTCTATCATCACCCGAACTCTGGAGAGTTCATCATTCAGAGAAGATGGCTGAGGAAAGCTCTACTCAACTGCAATTAAGGCTCTTTTTGGTTTCCAGAGAAAACAGAAGAGACAAATTAACATCCTGCCCTAGGAAGTTTTGTCCTCATCACTGTGGTGGCAAAATCCAGTTTTATCAGCAGTGCTGAGAAAGCGTGCAGTAGCTTGAGGATTAGAGAACATGATGGTTTCAACCCAGGACAGACTTCCAGTTTTCTGTCCTCTCTTCCTGAGGATACACTGAGAAATTATCCAACCCCCCCCAAAAAAGCAAAAACAAGCATCATCATCAAAGGGGTCATTCTGTACTTTTCCAGCCCTCAGCAGTCAGTAACCCTTCTGTCTGCACCAATATAAGCCCCAAGTAGTCAGTGGAAGTCATGATTTGCACAAGCAAATTCACTCATTTCCTAAGAGAGGACAAAACTCAGGGCATGACCTCAACTCCTTTCTCTTGGCCACAGCTTAGCTGAAGGCCTAGTATGTCAGATACACCCCAGTGTGATTCCAGGGACTGGTCTGGAATCAATTTGACCCAGTAAGTCTCTGATTGCATCAGGCCTTTCAGAAGTTTTGAACAACAAGGATCTGACCACCAGGCAACAATCTGCACAAAAACAAACTTTGCAATTTAAGGATTTTTAAAGATCTGTGCTTTTTTTTTGCTTTTTTTTTTTTTTTTTGTTTCAAATGCTTTCCAACTGAGCAAATGCTGCAGTGGGTTCACGGAAGAAGGCCCTGAGGCACCCCTGACTTTGGCACCATTATCCCATAGTCACTCCATACATTTTTGGCACCTTGCAACAGACATATTGACAGCCACAGGACTGACGGAAAGGGAAAGAAGCTGTTTTGAAGTCAAAAGAGAATGTACTCAGATTTCTAAGGCCATTTGAAAGAATGCCAGAACGATACTGGATTTTGGCATTCTTAAGCTCCTTTAAGATGATGCAGCAGCAAGTGGTCTTTTCCACATGTGATGATGTATTTCAGGACAAGAGTTTCTTCAAGATTTTCCAAGCCTGTGGGCTCCTGATCCTTTTTCAAATTACAGAGATGATAGCATACCGGGGAGAGTTGTGATTAGTTTAAACTCTCCACAGCTGCAAGAGATGATTGTAAGAATTCCACTCAAAAATCCACTTCTTCTGGATTGAATTTACCTACACGACACTGAGTCCTGACCAAGGGACCACTTAAAAGTGCTGGAGCAGCATCAATACTATTTAGTTTCTTCCATCACATCAACCCACGGAAGGCTCACAACTGTTCTGCCTAACACATCTCCCCCAGCAGCACTGCCATGATATGGGCTGGGGTATTAACAGTGCGCCAAGTTGCATGGGGGGGGGGGAATGGAATGATTAAATAAAAATTTAAGTACACGGGAATTCAAATAAGGCTTGCAACTCATTAGTTTAATACCAGGAGAATTGTAAAACACCTTGTAACCAAGAGGCTTTACTTGGAGCTGTTAAGGACTGCAGCCCCCACTTCACCATGGACTGACCAATTTTGACTGGTCTTGGCAACAAGGGGGAGGGTGCAAGCACTGAGCTTTCTGTCTCAGCTGACCCGAGGACACAGCAATGCTTTGTTTTGCTTAGCAGGACCTCTCTTTCCCTCTACGTTGCTTCCTTGGGTTTCTAATCAAATATAGTCGTTTATCACAGTGTTTTCAAAGATTCACAGCGATGTCACAGACTGTTTTCTTCTCTTTTTCCCAGAGAAGCTGTGTCTGCCCCATCCCTGGCAGTGTTCAAGGCCAGGTTGGATGGGGCTTGGAACAACCTGGTCTAGCAGAAAGTGTCCCTGCTCATGGCAGGGGGTTGGAACTGGGTAAGCTTTAAGGTCCCTTCCAACCCAAACTCTTCTGTGATTCTGTGATTCTATACACACCATCCACCTCCACCATTTGTCTTCAAGTGTCATCATTGACAACACTGGCAGTGTGCCCACCTTGAGACATTTGACCTTCTGTTTGAAGGCAGAGGAGGCTGGAGCACGCATTGGAAGACCAGTGACCGACACCTCCTCCATTTGTCTGGATTTAGTAACACACCACCAGGTGACACCACGTTTTATGGGTGTTTTCTCAAAAATACTAAACAAAGCGCATACCAAAGACCCTGTGTGCTGAAGTTGTCTCTTTGCCCAGGAAAGGGAGCCTGCGGTACCACCGCATGAAGCCCTGGAGCCTCACCGCCAGCTCAGGGCCACTGACACTTCCCCCAGAAACTCGGCTGGAACCGGCCACCCCTATGGCAGGGGGGGGTTAGAACCAGATGATCCAACCCAAACCATTCTGTGATTCTCCCATGGGACTCAGCAAAGCATAGTCATTTCTTTTTGCTCTGAACAGACTACAGAACTACAGCATACTGAACTACATTACAAATACATAAAGCATTAACCGTTTCATTCTTTGACTCCACCCCTAACCAGAAGACATGCCCTAACTACCAAACTACAGCTCTCACAGCCGGGTGGTTAGGCCTATTGCCGTGCGCACAGCTCCTTCAGCATGCGTAGTCGTGGCCGAGTGGTTAAGGCGATGGACTAGAAATCCATTGGGGTCTCCCCGCGCAGGTTCGAATCCTGCCGACTACGACCGCGAGTGTGCGGGCTCCGCGGTTGTTTTTTTCTCCTGTGCACTCGCTTCTCCGCGCTCCGTGGGCCGGGAGGCAGGGCGGGCCCAGACCCCGGCAGCGGACGGCTCCCCAAGAGCCCCCCACCTCCCTTCGGACGTGGAGACCCCGCCCACTGCCGGCGCCTGGCGTGCGGGGCCGCCTTGGCAACGGCTGGCGGCGGCAAGATGGCGGATGACTTGGACCAGTTACTGGACGAAGTGGAGAGGCGGCTCTGCTGCCTGCCGAGCAGCGAGGCGGCGGGCGGCCACCGGCACAGCGGAGGCGAGGCGGCGGCGGCGGCAGCAACAGTAGCACCGAAGGAGGAGGGCAGGTTAGCGGTCCTGCGTCGGTCCGGCGGCCTCACGCACCCCCCAGCCGGGCGGGCAGGCGCTGTGGTGGCGCGCAGCCCATCCCTTTCCCTTCCTGCGGGCGTCTGGCCAGATCTCTCAGGAGCCGAAAACACCGAGGTTCGGGAGCCGAAACACTGAGCGGCGGTCAAACAGTGTCCCCTGGAGTACTTATTTGTAAACACCCCAGTCGTGTGCCAGCGAGCTGAGTTACTTCAGATAGTCTTTGTCTCTTGGGAGTATCCCAGTCTCGGATTAAATATGGCGTTAAAAGCCTAACTAATTTGCTTGTGAGTTAGGATCAGGGATTACTGAGCTCTATAGCTGACCTTACGGTATATATAAAATATATAAAACCCTACAATTCAGAGCCGGAAGAACTTTAGCACTAGTATTGTGAAACGTTTCATTTTGATACATGTGTTCCGATCATAGTTTTTCTATTCACCATACCTTCCATAGAAAGCACTCAATTTACACTCTGCACTTTCATGTATCCACCCCAAATTTCAGTTTTCAAATGGGTCTGAATACCGACAGGTTTGGCTGTGACACAGTCACTGCTGGCAGTACTGCCAGTAAGTCTGCCATGCTGCCAGGCTCCCATCCCAGCCCTTGATGGTGTCTCAGGCTGTTTGGAAGGTCTGTGGACCACGGGGGCTTGGCCGGATATCTCCAGAGGTGTGCTGCTGAGTGCTTACCCAAGAGGCATTTCAGAGTCCCAGGCACTGCCTTTGGCCACATTACTGAACTCCCCCATTGTTTGCATAATGGTTAGAGGTGCGCTTAAATTTAGTCAATCTAATGACAATATTTTAAAAAATCACAGTTTTCTTCTTTCTCAGGAACAGATTTATACTTGATTGGTTGATGCAGCAGTACTACAGGCCTCCCTTTCTGTGACAAAGAGCTAGCAAACAGCAGACTTGAGTGACAAGACTTCTCACTTGGGTGAAAGCAAAGTGCAGGTGATCTCTCTCCAAATGCATACAGTTTGACAGGAATTCCTTCAGAACACCTGCAGTTCTATAGCATGAGGAGAGAACTCTTTCTTACCTTTGTATATTCCTGTTGCTGAAGATAAACATGAAAGAGCGGGGCTGACCAATTTATTGCTCAGTAAATGCAGCATGGGTTATATTATCATACTTTTATTCGGGGTTGGAAGTGACTGGAAATAAAAGAAGCAAGCAAAAATAACAGCAGGGACTGAAAGGCATCATCCTGCAGTTTATATCTGTCCAGTCATTATTTGGATGGCCTACCTTAGATATTACAGAAATATTAGAGGGAAAAGGCTGTAATTAAATTTATTTAACTTAAAATTGTTGGAACTACTTTGGTCATGCTACAAAATGAAGGCTGATTTGTTTGTTTTTCAGATCACCTGAACTGTTTCTGAGTGCTGACAGCAGTGAAGAAGATCTAGACAACATTATTGATGAAATCTGTAATGACAGCAGCTTTACCAAAACACCTCTGGTGAGTAGGAATCTAGAGAAATACAAAAGAGATGAGGTTCAGCCATGGAAAGAAAAGCACCATAAACTAAAGCTGTTATAAAGCAAAAAAAAAATAAACTAAAACAAGCTGTAGGATAAACTTGGAAAATAAAGCAGAAAGGAAAATGCAGCAATCCTGTAGTGAGTTTCAAGAGAGATAAAAGGATGGTCTTACCCAGGCAATAACAGACAATTAAAGGAAATGCTAGTTCAAGATAGAGCATAATGTCAGATATTACAGAATCACAGAATAGTTTGGGTTGGAAGAGGAACCTCTGGAGATCATCTGGTCCAACCACCTGCTCATGCAGGGGTACCTACAGGACCATGTCCAGAGAGCTTTTTACTGTCTCCAAAGATGGAGTCTCCGCAGCCTGAGTAGCTTGTGTCATGGCAACTTGTCGCCACGACACACAACTGCTCAATCACCCATCCCTTCCCTCAGTGGGATGGGGAGAAGAATTGGAAAGAAAAGGTGAAAACTGCAGATTGAGATAAAAACGGTTTAATAATTGCAATAAATAATAATAATAATAATGATGATGATGAAGAGGGAGACAACAAAAAGAGAGAAATAAAACCCAAGAAACACAAGTGGTGCACAATCCAATTGCTTACCACCTACTGACTGATACCCAGCCTGACTCTAGCAGCAATCAGTCCCTTCCAGCCAGCTCCCCAGGTTTATATACTGGGCATGACATTCTATGGTACAGAATATCCCTTTGGCTAGTTTGGGTCAGCTGTACTGTCTCTAGGTGGGCATAAGAAACTGAAAAGCCCTTGATCAGGGTAAGCATTACTTAGTAAAACTAAAACATCAGTGTGTTATCAGCATTGTTCTCAGACTAAAGCCAAAACACAGCACTGCACCAGCTACTAGGAAGAAAATTAACCCTATCCAGCCAAAACCAGTACACAGTGTTTGACCACCCTCAAAAGAAGTGAAGTTTTTGCATATGTTTAACTGGAATTTCTTGTATGTCAATTTGTGCCTGTTGCCTCACCCTGTCAGTGGGCCCCATTGAGAAGAGTCTGGCTACATGTTCCTTATTCTTCCCTGTCATGTATTTTTATACATTTGATAAGATTTGATAAGATTCTCCTGACCCTTTCTGCAAGCTAAGCAATTTCATCTCTCTTCTAAAACAAAAGCTCAATGGTGAGGGAGAAAATTCCTAAATTAAAACAGCTTTTAAAAGCCAAATTATTAAAAAGAGGTCATGAAATACAAAGTCTTGATTGTAAAGTCAAAATGGTCATGTGGTGCTGAATTCCTTCAGGCAGAGCTGGGAATTCAGTACAGGAAGAGAAGCCTTTTTTCTGTTACTATCTATTTTCATAACTATCTGTTATTTATTTTCATTTATCTGTTACTTCAGCAGCTTTTGTCTTGGAGCCTCAGAAACCCAAGCAAGAAAATTCCCAAATTCTTAGTCCCCTGCTTCTATGACGGAAATTTTCTGGCTCCAACTTATTAAGGAAAACAGACTATTGTTACTTTGCTGTAATTGTGATTCTTTTATTGTTTTTTTTTAATAGAAATTGAAGTCTAACTCTGCAAGTCTCACACCTGAAAGAAATAGTGCTGTTATACAGGCTCATAGGAAAAGGCAAGTGAAAAGTGTTTTGGCTAGTTGAACACAGCTTGATTATAGCTTGTTGTCAGTCTAAGTATTGCTACTGTTTCACCTGTGTGGACATTAACTAAGAATCTGAGTATTTTGAAAAGCATTCGTTTTAAAGAAAAAGATCAAGATAATTTTGAAGAGTTACTAATGTGCTTCCATGGGGTCAAAATTATTTCTTACTAATTATTTCAGTTATTGAACAGGTTTCTTTGCCTTAAAGGCATACACGTGTACCAAATGATACAATATATTTGGTATAGAGAGTGGTTATTGTAGAGTTTTTCTCGACACTGTGGTAATGGAAATTTAAAAATTCTGTCATTTGTAAGCATTTGGATATATTTGCCTATATTTAATAAATATTATTTTAGAAATCCCATGCTGTTAAACTAGGAGAAGCATTGTACTACTTTCTCCAAAATGTTTTGCTTTAATTTAATACTTCTAATGAAATCCCTGTAGATGCTCTCCTGTGTACCTGGGTGGAAGCTTTTCACCACATGGCATAGGGACAAATACTTCAAAAAGGTAGGAAACATGAACAGAACGTTCTACTTGCTTTGTCATTATTTTCATTCACAACTGTGTTTCTGTGGTGGTGCAGATTTCTGTATTTAGACTGGACAGGACACCCTTATATTCATATAAACGTGTCTGCCTGTAACTGCAGATGCAGTCAGCTGGGCCCTTCCAGTCCTCTGTTGTTGACCAGTAGATCTTTTGTTGGTTTGAGGAGTTGAAAAATGTGTGCAAATGAGACATGAGACTCCAAAAATCAGTAACAAGTAGTTAACAAAATTGCTGCTGTAGGGGATTGTTATTTTTGTCTGCCTCTCTTCAGCTTTCTATGTGATGCTGAATATGTGACTTAAATCACTGGGCTGGTTTAAATCATCTGAGAGCCTGAACTGAAAATAGCCAGAGTGCTTTGCAAGTGTAGCTGAACTTAGTAGGAAAGATACTTTAAATATTTATCCCCAACATCTTATAGAACATTACTGCATTTCCATGCGGGATTTTTTTAGTAAGTAATTATGCACTTGATGCATATTTGGATGCTGGTCAGGTGCCATACTAATGAGGAAGACCAAAGAGAATATATCAAGAAAGTAATGGTTTATTTTATGCACTCAGTGAGGTTAGAAACCTGTAAAAATAATACATGATCATATAGTTAAAAAATATACCATAATGAATGTGCCAGATACGTAAAAAAAATAAGATTACAGGGTAAGCTTCTAGCATTTCTGAATGAGCACTGTACTCAAGAACAGGTATGATCTGTGTGGCTTCTCTGATCGTAATAAACTCTTGGAGCTTTCTGTTATTTCTTGACCAGAACGTGTGATCAACTACGTTGTACTGCTTGTGACTTCCGCGTGTCACTCTTCAATGACTACGTCTGGGATCAGTCCTGTGATTATCTTTTTTTCAGGTATGTCTGAGGTGGGTTTGGTGTTAGTATTGTCTTACTGTGCTTTCAGGCTTGATAGGAATGGGAAAGATGAAAAGTCCTGAGCACTCCTGTGTTACCTAAAAGGGAGCATGTGTACAGTCTGCTGGGGGGGAGTCAGATGAGAAATTCTGCAGGGAGAGGGGGGCAACATCTCCCATAATCCGCATTTCCATTTCTACCACCATCACTCTCCCTCTCTGGTCTTAAAAACAATTCAAGTTTCATGGATCAAAAGGCAACTTTTCTGCTGAAATAAGCCAATAATACATGTGATGGGTTGGCCTCTGGTGTGCCATTGCAGAATGCCTACAAAATGAATGAGGACTGCTCTGTATGTACTTCATGCTTTCAGTCATATAGACTGTGATTGTTTCAAGTCAGGTTTTCTTCTTTTCAAGTATTACACTGCCATATTCAGTGAAAATCAGATAGTGTGATTTCTTAGCAGACTTCTTTTTGAAGCAAGGTTTGATTTAATGGAGGGGTGGGATTTTTTTTTTTTTATTTTTAGATTGTGATGTCTTTGACTTTAATTATTTCCATCTTTTTGAAGACTTAAAATTCAGGAGTTCTTATTTCTACGTTCTGTAAAATGCCAGGACTTAACGAAGAATAGTGTAGGGTGTGCTCCTAATACAGACAGCGGATTTGGATTCCTCTTTAGGAAAGTCTCTGTATGTGCCCATTCACTGATGGAGATAGCTGGTGTGTTCAGAGTATGTGCATGGCCACAGAGGGGTGTAACAGCAGTAATGGGTACATTATCTTCTTTTACATTATTTTTCTTTTATTACATAGAATCGTAGAATAGTTAGGGTTGGAAGGTTTTTCTTACAGTTTAGGAAGATTTGCATTCCCTTTGAATGCAGATCTTCTTTTCCCATTATTTAAAGCAGCATTAAAAATACAGTGCTCTACTAGTTTACTGAGGTGAGTTTGGTAGCTGGAAAGGTTAAATAAAAATACGATTCTTTTATTTACTCAGGGTCTAAATTATTCTGCTTCTGAGATCTTGCAATTAATAAATTATTTAAAAAAGCCATGAAAAACATTAGTATCAGGTACTCGTAGCATTGATTAAAATCTGTTCTCTTTAGCAAGATATTTAGCTATTTGTTTTGACTAACCTGAATTTTAAAAAGCAAAAGCAAACTTGAATATTAATTGTTTGCTTCCATGACTAGGTGTCTGGCCTCTTTTTCTAAAAATTCTTCCTTTGATGTCTGTTTTGGGTTTTCTTTATTTAGCTGGGCTGGTTAATGGGGTTTTCTAAGCAATTCAGTGGCCAGTAATTGATGGCCAGGAGGAAGTCATGAGAGCAGGGACAGTTAAAATGCTACTTTTTTTACTTGGTTTTTGAAACAACTTGGGTTTGTAATAGCCATGATGATATTTCATTTGTTGTGGTTGATGCTTACAGAGAAATTATGTGTGGTTTGATGTACATTCTTCCCTCTAATGGCTGTTTCATTTCAGTCACTTTAACACTATAACAGCCATCCTGAGTAACAGTTCCTGATGAAAAGTTTCACTCTTTAGTTGTACCCTTTCTGCATAGGGATTTTTACAGTAAGTTTGATAAAATAAATATGTTTTTTGGATCATTTCTTAACAAGAGAATTAACTCTACCTGGTTTTCTTTCGAACCCTTTCTCTGGAGGCTGACACAGGGTCTCTAAACCTGACAGAGAACATTTGTTACAAAAATGTCAATCTCCAGTTGATCTGAGCATGCAGCAACTATGCACAGGGACTGCTCTCAGGACTAAGGGTTGTGTTCAAAACAAAATTCAAACATACCGCTAAATTAATTCATGTCAGTGGTACTCAGAAATGTTCTGAAGAGCTTTTCTGAATTGAAATGGCCTCATGAAACTTTTTTCACTTGATTGGCAGGAATAACATGCCTGAACTCAGTAAACTGAGAGCGAAGATGATAAAGAAGAAGGGAGCACGAGCATATGCTTGTCAGTGCAGCTGGAGATCCATTGATGAGTTAACTGACCTCCAAACAGACCAGCAGCTTCGGTGGGTTTGTGGTAAACATGCAGAATGAAGTCCACTCGTGTGTGGTACCTACTTGTGTGGAAACAGGTCATAAACTCCATTTGTTTCCTACAGTTTTCTGAGAACAGATAGAAACCTGGATACTTATATCTAGAAACAGATTATAACACTCAACCTTTCAACCTGAAAACCTTTTTCTTTTCAATGTAACTGTCTTACAAGCAATGCGGGGAGTTGATTTATTAGAAGAAACAACCAATTTGGAGGCTTTCTGGAAGTTAAAGAAGGTTAAAACTCATACTCGGTGTTAAAGAAAAGAAGAGAAAATTGACATAGGAACAGAGCAAAGCACCTTGAGACTGTTGCATCTAGCAGAGAGCCTTATTTCCCATGTCTGTAGGATCTTGGACTCAAAAGGGTGGGTTGGGATGCAGCCATGACACAAAAGTATATGAATTTCTTCACAGAAATGCATACTGCTGTTCTGCTTTGCTCATAGCTGTTAACAAGCAAGCGGCTGTAGACCTCTCAAAAAAATCTACTGCGATATCAGCTCTCATCTCAAAGGTTTCAGCACACCCCAAAATTTTACTTTCTTTTAGTCACCAGTAGCCAAAATCTGCAAGTCCTGGAAATTTCCTTCCAGTTCCTACTGATTTCTTCCAAGCAATTTCTGCTAAGGACTTTTACCACCATGAATTTCTTGGACTTCTCTTCAGCCTTTACTGCAAGAGGTGAACAACTTATTGTGCAATTATTAAATATTGTGTGATTTTAAAGAGATTCTGAAAAGTATATGGCTCTTCTGTTGGTATTTTCAAGGGAAAAAAGGCTCAGGCTTTTGAGAGTGAGAAAATATATGTCCCTCCTGACGTTCAAATTTGGATTGTTTTCAGTTTCTCTTAGCTCTCACTTCAGCTTCACTTCGAAATACTGCATGTTCAGAAAGTGAAGCTGTCCTGTTACAACACACTGCCTTCCCACAGTAACACTGTTACTTGGTGAACTGTCTTGATTACAGTTAATGTCGCTATAACTTATGAGCTCTTTCTTTTCATTATGTATAAATAAAACAGGAGGTGGATTTGAGAGCAAGGAAAGGATTACCAGTCCTGGCAATTACATTGAAAAGTGTCTCAAAATGGGAATACTGTCAGTATTTTGTTATGTAATATGTGATACTGTATGGATAGATTCAAAACTGCTTTGTGCAGTCCTAGCTGTACAGAGCCATTTCTTGTGTGTGTGTGTGTGTTAAGTTTTGCTCATGGCCCTAATCTGCACATTTGATCTTTTTCTGAGCCCATTTGAAACTTGATGACCAAGTAGCCCCATAGGATTCTCTTTCAGCCTGGATTGCTTGTGCCACAATGTAGGGAATTAGTTGGGCTTGCAACTTCTGAGCAGGAAATGGGAAAAATCCTAACACCCATCTCAGTTTATGAAACCAAGTCTTATGTGACAAAAAGGAGCATGTCTCCAGTACCCTGGTTTAAACAAACCATCAGAAATGGTCACCCTGTCTGGAACTGTTTGCTCTGTGGAGCAAATCATGTGGAAGCAGAAGTTCAGGACATCTGTGCTAGCGATTTTTATGACAGGACTACAGCCTGCAAAAGTGGAGGCCAGGAAGAAACTGAGAGAAAAGGACTGAGAGTGTAGGAGAAGTAAAAAGAAATAACAGCAATATCTACTGACAGCGTTAATCAGCATTTCTCCTGAGTATTAAGCAGTCTTCGGTTAGCCTGGAGAACTGGAGAGAGAGGGTTTTTTTCAGGGTAGAGATTGTTGTCAGGTGATTGTATCAGTAACACCATTAAGTCTGCACTCCAAGCACTGAAAACTTTAGAAGATAATCCTTATTGGTAAATGTATGTGGAAACCTGAGCATTCCCCTGAAATAATCATGTTTATTCAAGTGTAGATACTTGTTTCTGGCCTTGGTCAGAATGGTGGGATATGATGGCTCTTTGTCCAAATGAAGTTTAAACAGGTGCAGGAATGGTGCTTATTGTATTAGTTTTCATTACAGAATCTAACGTATTTCTAGATATGAAAATAGTTACTATGTCATGAAATAAAACTATTTTTGTTGGAAAGAGGAGTGATATTAAGTATTTGATTTCCCTTGCTTTGCTTTCTTCAGTTACACATTACAAACCACTCTACAGTCCTCATATGAAAAGAATGTAAAGAAAGGTGAAATTAGAACTTGGATGTTCATTTGATGAACATATTGTGAGATTGCACAAGGTTTTCAAGACATAGCCAAGATCCTAAGTGATATTTCCGTGTCAGTTACCTGAGATAGCAGGGATTATGTCAGGAATTTTGTTTAAGAATGCCATTCAGCTGTTGTCAAACGGAAGTACTGGAGAGCAGTTTTGCTAAGTATAAATGTGACCATTGTTTTCCTCCAGTTTTTTGCTTTGGAAGTAATAGTACCATTGCTGTTTGTGAAATGGGCAAGGTGAAAACTTGAGACTTTCATTTTGCTTAAGTGATATGCTTGGAAATTTTCTAGCCTGCAGCATTAGTCTGCAGCAGATCCCTCAACAAAAAGCACTGGAGGATGGCAAAATGAGAGTCCATGCAAAAGCATTCACTTGGAAATGTACAGTCAGGGTTTAATGTCTTGCCAAATTTTCTCAGTCTGTGTTTCTGCAGTACTTGTGGGTAGGAATCCAAATGTACAGAGAATATTTTTATGGGTTTTCCTTATCAATTTTTAATATGCTGGTTTGGCTGTATCTCACTTGTTTTTCCTGCAAACCATGGAGGGTGTCCAACGCAGATGCTGACTATAGCTCAGAAGAGTAATTACTGGAGATCTTGCCCTGCCATAGCATACAACTTACAGAAGCATAGTAGCATTATATATTGCAAGCTCTGCACTCTATATAAGATAAAATAAAGATTTATTATTTCTTTTCTGAGCACCCATTTCAGTTTTGTTCTGAAGGCATTCTGCACATGCCAGGCACTGGAAGCTGCCACTTGTTGAATGACTGCTCTCTTCTCTTGTTTCCTGACATGTGAGTCTCTGGGTCATGTAACCAGCACACGTGGTAGTCACACAACAGGAGAGAGACCATTTCAGGACCTGCGTAGGCAAATTTTGATTCCTGCCAGGCTCTTCCTGCACCAGACCCAACCAGTACTGTCTGTTGTGTGACACCTGATAACCATAGACAGGCCAAGCTCTGCAGGGGTGGCGTAAAGGGGTGTTAGGTGCTGCTCATTGTGAGGGCCACCTCACAATGCCTGGGACTCTGCACATGGGCTTCAAGGAAGCTATTTTTTAAATGTCAACATGTCAATAAAATGAGAAGTTGGAATAAACCTGCACATTGTGGTGCATAAATTCTGTTGTGTTGTTTCTATCTAGGAGAAGTCTTGTAAAAGCGATACAGGACCATGCTTTCTTTGTCAAAAGTGTTATGAAATGTCCTTAGAACAAAAACATTGTTTAGCTTGTAAGAAACAAAAAGTAACTGTTGCTTGTGTTTTCCCACATAAATGGGGATGCAGCAAATACCTGAGAATTAAGTGGGCTTTAGTGCTCTTTACCAGATAACATGAGCACTTTAAATTACAGAAATCTTGTAAAGGTAGGTGCATTTACCACCTCCTTTGGATGTTTACCTAGGATCAAAGGTGGAGCCAGCTGCTGTGGAAGGTGTCACATAGCTAAACTTCCTGCAGAATGGGATGCTGGTATCTCTGTGGGACAGTCAAGGCAGGTTATCACTAGCATCATATTGGTCACTTCGAAGAGAGAGGTCAATCAAGGAATCACAGCATTTGCTGTCCCCTGGATCTTGCTGTAGAAAACCAGTCTTAGCACAAGGAAGAAGTTGCTCTGTCTATGGGAGCTGGAACAAATCTTGTTTCTCCATTATGAAGAAATGCTGTGTGGCATGCATTAGAGTAACAGACATAAATACTTCCTATACTCCATTCTGAATCTGCATTCTCGGCATTGGTGCTACTCAGTCAATAGTTGCTTCCGAGATTTAATGGGCAGTATGGACTTGCTGGGAGCACACACAAAACACCCCCCGCTTCAGGAGTACTCCTGACATCTTATTTACTATTCTCAATATCACACTGCACCGCTAGGAGGTAGTGCCCATATGTGTTTAATCGACATTGACAACTTTTATTCTGTTGTGTTAGATGTGCTTTGGAAGTATGAAATTTGGGGTGAAATGTGATTATACAATCTGGTCTGCAGAGGGCAGAGCAACACCGCTGTGTGTAAACTTCAGGCTTCTGCTTCCCTACTAGAAACTCATACTTCAGCGTTTTTTCTGGAATAATGAAGGTGTACATTCAACTGAACAAGGCTTCTGGCATTTGTCTCCTACCAGTGTGGTTATAAGTGGGGCAGCCAGGTCTGGGGCAACTCCACTTGATTTTTGTGCAACTTTATCCAAATGGCCCTCAAGTAGTTGTTGACCAATCTGAAGCAGACTAACTCTTTTAGCTGTCAACTAAAGCATAAAAAACTGTGTCTTTGTGTATGTAGATGTATGTACCTATGTTTATCTTCTAATAAGATCAATGGAAAAACTACATTGCTTCAGGATTTATCTTTCACCCTGCACAAATTAATTTTCCCTGAAAATAAATCATTTTGGCAAGTAGATGTTGTGTACATTAGGATCTTCTAATTTTCAATACAAATACAGCACATCACTCCAAGATGTGAAAAAAAAACAGCAGATCTTAAGAAGGAAAAAGTAAAAAGCCAAGATTTAGAAATACCAAATGACTATTTCTGTCTACGTAGGAAAGCAGTGTAGACCAGAGATGCTGCAGGACAGTCTGAGAAACGGCATGAGCATCTTCCAGAGACCTGCATGCTGAAGTTCATTGGCCATGAGCCATGGCAAAGGTTCTGGTGAAGTCTCATGCTCTGAACTCTCATTCTGATTCTCTGAGAATCCAGTAAGTGTGAATGTACAAAGCTGATTTGTGATGGATGGAAGTAAATGTGATCTCTGATAACCAGTGAAGTTGTGTCTCTTTCTGTAGAAGCAATGAGGTGCTTTTAACTAGAAACACTAACATACCTGAGCCATGGAAATAGAGTTTGCTCATAAAATAGGGAGTATCATCTAAATTTAGCCTAGTTACACCATAGGTGAGTGATCCCTATAACACTTAATTTTTCACTTCCTCCATTCTAATAGGAGAAATAGTTGAACAAAGAGTTTAGTAGAGAAAATAGGAACAGGCAGGCAGAGCAGCACACTGAGAGAGAATGCATAGAGAAAAGTTCTGTGGAAACATTTTTCCAGGCAAGGAACAAGCCACTGTTTTTTGTTTGCTTCTAAACCAAAGACAGCACGCCTCAGTGAAAGAAACAAACTTCAGCATGCTGCAGGGAGCAATTCAAATGCCTACAATTTGCCAAAACCAAGGACAGAACTTCATATAAGAGGTGTCCTTTCTAGGCGTCTTTTAGGATTGTTACTGGGATAGATATTAGAAAGAATTTTTTCCCTGTGAAGGTGCTGAGGCCCTGCACAGGTTGCCCGGAGAAGCTGTGGCTGCCCCATCCCTGGCAATGTTCAAGGCCAGGTTGGATGGGGCTTGGAGCAACCTGGTCTAGAAGAAGGTGTCCCTCCCCATGGCAGGGAGGTTGGAACTGGATGATCTCTAAGGTCCCTTCTAACCCAAACCCTTCTGTGATTGCAATTCCAGGGGCTGGCCCAAAAGAGAGGTTGAATCTACCCGCATTCACTGCCTTCAGGGTTTTCTGCAGTATTTTGAAACCTGTTTCCTGGTGATAGGTTTTAGATACAAGAGCTAAGATAGTCAGATATTCTATTTAGATATAGGAGCTAAGATACTGAGGGCTGCTAACATCCTCTTAGGGGTTTATAACTGTTTTTTAAATATAAACAAATATCTTGAAGTTTCATGAAAGTTTCATGAAACCCTTAAAGCCTCAGAGCTTGTTCTAAAGATCTGGGAGGCAGAGAGGAGGAAGACATTTTCATGCTGGTCAAACTAACCCATAATATTCCAGCTCCAAGTATCTTAAATACATCTATTTTAACGTGGTTGTCTACAGTGGGGAAAAAAATGTTAACTAGCTTTTGAATGGTGGTAGGATATTTATAAAGTATCCATAGAATTTTTCAATCTATTTAAAAGCAAGCAGTATTGCCTTACTCTAAGGTGCTGCAGTATATGTGATAGTAGTTAAATACAGCAAGCATAAATCTTTCAGCTAATGAAAAGAAGCTTTGGGATAGTCAGCAATCTGAGTGTGCTCAGAAGCCCCTGTCCTGACTGCCCTCATGTAAACAGCACTCACAGGAAGGGGGAAGCAGCCACCAGAGACAGGAAGGTTGAATTTAGCATCAAACTCCTTATCAAGGCACAGTGGGCTGCTCAGGATGCTGCTAAGAAAGAGTATAAATTGCTCCAGCAGACAGTGACAGCTGCCTGGCCCTTCCTGGGAAGGCCATTCACATGGAGGTAATCAGGGTACAATCTCGTGTGTGCAGATGGCTTTAGGAAGAGATTATATCCTGGGGCCGGTTATTCAAAATAATGCTTACCATGGTGTATTACGCTCTCATTCAGTCTCAGTTACCATCAGTTGCAGGAAGAGATTGAGCTGCTGCTGAAGTAGGAGGGTGTGTGACTCCTGGAAATAGAAACTTCATTATAGTAAGAGTTATTATTAGTCTTATTAGCCCTAAAGAAATATAAGCCTTTCCTGAATCCTAATATGCACTGCAATATCTGGTTTAAGTTTTAGATTATAGGTTTTATATCAGAACTGGCACACCTCTAGTTCCAACACTTTAGAGATAAAAGAGGTTGCAGCCTTGTTTTATGTGCTTCAAATCGGTGAGGCCCTTGTTTACAAGTGGAAGATAAGTGGTTCCAAAACATTCTTTGCCATGTAATTGGTTGCTCATTAACATATGATGCCAAGTTTCCCTTTGGTTTCTGTGTCTATCTTGGGCAATCCATCTGCCCCCAGCCTACAGCGCAGCAAGGCACCATTCCGTCAATGCATGTTCCTCAGTGGCTGAAATGAAGTTAACACAAAATTGTGGCATCCTCGGCATTGCTTTTCCTATGAATGATGACTCTAATTTTTCCTGTCTTCCCCAAAGTATACTGCAAAATTCTGTCATATTTTCTCAAAACTTTATTCAAGCTAAGATTGGGACTTGGAAACACTTTAAAGCAGTCTTTTAGTTGCATCTTCCCACATATGTCTGAAACACCTCTTTTCATTGTTTCGGTTTTATTTTTCCATGTTAGATATATATTTAGTTCAATTCCAGTGAGGAAAGCTGGAAACAATTAAGCTCTTACAAAGGAGAGTGATATAAAAGAGTCTACCCATGTCCTGAAGAGCAATAAGGTATATCTGTCTCGGGTAATTGCACAGAGAACATTCTGGATTTGAATTGCCAAACAAACTCAGGCCAAGACGACACTGGGGTCCCTCTGTTCTGCTGGCTGAATGCGGGTACTGCACATCCCCGGTCTCCTGAGCACAGCGGATACGGTGGTGACACAGCCGTCAGCCGTCTTAGCACCCGGTGTATCCAGCCAGGTGCTTCACGCCAGGGTTGCTGGTGTAAGCTAAAACCCTGAACCCCTCTGTTTTTGCAAAAGCTATTTTTAACCCCTGTGGTACATTGGAAATCCCTCCTAAAACCTGGGGAACATTACTTCTTTATAAAGAATATGTCTGTAAAGTGGATAATTTCCAGATGTCAAAGCGTTTCTCAGTCCTTGCAATAACAATTCACTGCTTGGGGTTCTCAGCCAGCGCTGGGCATGTGGTTACCTTGGGTATTTTCAGGATCCATGGTAAGGCAAATGGCACCTTTAAATAGGGGAAAAACAAACAGCCTAATAGGCACCTCACAGCAGAGAGCACCTCATCAGGTTT